ATTACAGGTTTCTCGTTCAACACATCTTTAATACAATTTGTACCCTGAGAGTACACGATCTTAGAATCATTTTTTGGTTTCTTTTACATGCACTTATTTCAACAATAGTATCTCACAGCATATTTTAAGTCAGATTTAAGTCAGATTTAAGTCAGATTTAAGTCAGATCAATGGTTTACGTAACAGCAACTATATATTTTTTTAATTCTCTCAGTTATTCCTGTCAGTAAGAATAGGTATTGCACAATTTTATTTTGGGAACCTTTTTATAGGACACATTAGTTTGAGCTCTTTTCTAATGTAAATATTGTAATTAGGGTTTTGCAATATATAGTAGGGTTTCTTGACTTGCAGCATGGCGCGGGCCATTCTCGTTTGTCAGGTTACAGAGTAGGTTTTCATCGGCGTTGATGGTACTTATATTTGGGGGTGTATTCAGAATTTTGTAACGGATTGTTGTTGAGATTTTAGAATTCATTAACTGACGTATGCAAATAACACATGTTTCCTGCACGTTATAGATTTAATATTTTCGGGTGTTTAAAAAACACAGAACATTTTTAAAATATAAAAGAAAGAATATGTGAAAAGAAAGAATATGTGAATAGAATATCGATGAAAAAATGTTATATTTATGTCAGAAATTTTAAATTCATTCTCTTGTAAACAGCATTACACATGAAGTGTTAACCATTAACACACATTATTTAAATTGAATGTTTTTTTCCTACATGATGGTTTTCACAGAAGCGACTGAAGGAAAATGCTTGAGTCCACTTGCAACACTGTCTCTCATCAATCACCATCCACACTCTCAAATATACATTTATCTTTTTTTATTAAATGGAATTCTAAAAGAAAAAAAAAGAAAAATTCCGGTATATTTTATATAGTAGTATGCGTTATCCATAAGTTTTAGGTGAAACATTATTTTCGAAAGAGAAGACACAAACAAGTGCAATAAAAAGAGAAACTTTTAGATAAATAAAAGAAGTATACTACAAGCATATCTTTCCAAAATTACAGAAGACCACATCATTTGAAAACCACTGAGTCGTCAAAAAGACGGCATCTCTTCTTCTAGTATTAATGTATTGTTTCAATGGTTTTGAACTAAACCATCTTATCCAAAACACTATTGATCTTAATTAATCATAGGTGTTTATTCTCGATAACAGTGATTGCGATCATAACCTTTTCTTCTGATTATCTTCATTTTGAATTGATCACAGAAAGCGATTTAAAATGGAATACAAAGGAGACATGGTCGGGAGAATTTCAATTATTATTTATTCCGAAATTCTCTCTTCGCCTCTGATTCTACTCCACCTTGTTCGCAAAAAATCTCACTTGTAATGTCTTCCTCTTTTGTTGCAAAAATAATTATTTTTTATTGAGATTTCCCACTTTTTCGGATTACTTGCTTCTTTTTCATTATCCTTTAAAACAACATTCTCTACTAAGTACCGAGATGATGTGGTCGATTTTTTTTGATATAGCACATTGCTTTAGTTTTGTTACTAGCGTTCAATACATTCTAATTATTTTCATTATTTTTGCCTGAATTATTACTTTCCTTGAAATTCTGAAGTTTAGAAATAAAGTAAAGAGTACGTTTGCACATGATGTTATAATTCCTTGGGTGATTCAAGTATTATTTTAGTGAGATTAAATCTGAGAGACAATTATTTCAATTAAGTATCCAAGATTGAATACAAAATCTAATTCCTTCGTGAAATAGTTACGAGGTATTTTCCTCTCCTTGGTGTTTGGAGGGGAAATTTGCTCAGAGAGTAAGCACGTGATGCCCAGGGCCGCATTTAAGTGTTGTGGGGCCCACAAAATAGTGTTGACACCCCGTTAAAAATAGCTCCGTCTTTATGAAATAAAAAAAAAGTATATTAACATATGTACTTTCTACAAATGCAAATGAAAACTAATATTTTTTATATAAAATTATACATAAAATGTATTTAATGTAATAAATATAATACATGTTATAAAATATCTTATGCCATCATCCTTCATGACGACTGCATCTGTTTGTTTTGCTCTTAGGCAGATCCGACCCTGTTGAAGCGACAGCGCTAGAGAGCGAGAGCGGAGGAGAGCGGTACTCACCGGGCACGGGCTCGCCGTTGAACTTCATGTCGACGAGGTGCGCCAGGGCCTCGTGCGGCACGAAGGACGCCAGGAAGCGCTGTCCGCCCAGCGACTGCACGAAGCTCGTCACGTGGCCGCCGTTCACCAGGATCTCCAGGTTGCCCGAGCCAGCGCCGCGCCCGTCGACTGCGCACACACACACACACCCGCCACATTATCATCATCACTCAGCGGAAATTATTTTGTTTTAAAATTATTTGGGTTGGAGAATATAAAGGGTTGGAGAATATAATAGTAATTATAGCGCGCTGGCTTCGAATCGGAAGGTCCGGGTTCCATCCCCGGGCCAGCCATCCACATCGGAGTTTTTCGTAGTTTTTCTCAGTGATAGAGAGAATGCTGGAATGGTTCAAAAATGTTACGATTATCTCCCATCACCCCACCTGTCATCATACTAGTCCTTTCACCCCTTATCACCCTATCATTTCATTCAGCATTCCTTGGACAAAATACCTGAGACCCTTGCCTTTAATGGGATCTTAGTGGCTAATAATAATAATAATAATAATCATAATAATAATAATAATAATATAAAACAGTGATGTAAAGCGGGATATTGCACGCTTCGCGACACGATGGCATGCTACGAGCTTCTAGCGTAGGGAAAGAGAACTAACGTTGTAACACCGCAGTTTTCCAACTTGGAGGAATCGCATGTAAAAAAAGAGGATATGCCGAGAAAAATTAAAGTATAAGTATAATTAAAAAATAACAACAAATATACTTGACCTTATTATCTAAATGCCGCCTAATTGTATTTCATGTGTTAAGTGTAAAGGCGATCAGTGCGACTTTGACTACCAACTGCCCTCTTGTGGCGAGGTGATCAACTGCTTGGAAGAGTCAGTTAGTCGTGCTACTCCTGCCACGTGCACACACGAAGAAAGGAAAAGCCGTCTGAAGAAGGGGATCACTACTCGCACGAAGGAAAGGAACTGTAGCATTTCGACAAGACATTTTGTGACACTTTCGGTCATTGTCAGTTTCTGTTTTGCAAGAAGACTTACGAAATTCATTACAGAAATGTCCCATGATATATAAATCGTTGAGGTTACAAGACTTTTCAAATTTAATTAAAATGCTAAAACTTTATTATGCTTCCAAGCCACCCCGAAGACAATTTAAATTGTTATATTAAAGCCAGACTCACGTAATCCGGAATTAAGAGATAATGAAGAATGAAGAAAAATGAGCGGTGGCGTATTCGTGCATTAGTTTGTACTCTTGGCAAGAACTCTTTAAAGCCCTCCCCTTAAAGAAGCTTCCATTGAAAGAAAAATATTTATTTAAAGAAATAATTCATTTAAACTCATTTAAGTAAATAAAAATCATCTAAACTCATTTAAATGAATAAAATCATCTAAACTCATGTAAATGAATAAAATCATCTAAACTCATGTAAATAAATAAAAATCATCTAAACTCATTTAAATAATTAAAAATCATTTACTCATTTAAATAAATAAATATCATTTAAATTCATTTAACTACGTATTCAGTTTTATAAACATTTCAAACATAAACAAATATTTACTTTTATGAATTTTCCTTTCTACTTCGCAGAGTGAGTCGCTTCAGGTTTGACAAGTCAATACCAAATATAGTACAGGTGAAGGCGCGAATAACAATAGCGTTTGTAGTCTTTTGTATTCTAAAACAGCAGATCTCCCGTGATATTAAGATTTATGTTTATACATTTGACGCTTCAAAACGATAAATCTCTGAACGATGTGAAACAAAGAAATTGTTCAGCAGCTTCTTAGCAATATGGGAAAATAATCATATGCTGGTCTCAGTAGAACACACACAAATTTGTATTTTTTTACACTCGTAATGTCCCATCCTGTGTATCCTTGACACGATCACATGTGCACTGTTGTACGCACAGAAACAAAGAGGAATCAAAAAAATCATGGACTTCAAAATGCCAACTAGTATTATTTAAAATATAATAACTTCCAAACCCATTTATTATATTCAGAAGTATGTTGAACGCAACCTAACAATGAATAAAGATATCAGACGCAGCAGTGCGGCTTGAATGTGGGTCGTTAAGGGTGATGGTGCGTGACTCTATTTTAGCCAATTGCATTGAAATAGTTAAATCGTTCAAATGAAGAACCTTAAACTGCGGGACAATATGGCTAAAAATACTTTAGTAATAATTATTCGTTATTTTCTAAAATGTAGCTAAAAAGGTGAAAAAATGGGTTATTCATAGGGTTTGTGGCACCCCTAATTCTATTTCAAAAACTGTTTTATTATTGAATATACTTACCATATATAAATAAATGTAATCATTTCACATACAAAGCATTTTTTCCATTATAAATATACTCGTCCATTGGAAGACAACTTAGCAATAGTATTTTATTATACGAATCGTAGAAGCACCATTTTATTTTACGTAGGAAAGGTTGCGACTCGAAACCCGTAGGGCGAGTGGCGCAAACCTTCGAGCAAAATAAAATCACTTTTAGAACGTGTGTCATACACTACTTTTTAGCCAGCCTTACTGACTTTCATATTATTTTTATTAAAGTACAGAAATCACTTAATAATATTTTAAGACCAGCAGTTGCTGATACGGTCAGACGAAAGTATTTTGCTTTCTTTGTGTTCACAGATTATTAGAAAACTTGAGAATCGTCTCATTTTTTTGCACTAGTACTAAAAAATTGAACGTTGCGTGCCCTAAAAGAACAGATTTTACAAGTGGCTGTCTAAAAATATGTATTATTCTAAAAAATATTGAAGGGGCGTTCGACTCGGAATCGGCCCCGCCCCCCGCATTACTTGCCTGATCCACCTCGGCACCCGCGCTCGGAAATGAAGCGCTACTCACTTTCGAACTCGACGGGCCGGCCGACGACGCCGTCGGGGATGCGGCCGACGGCGATGGCGCGCGCGTCGTAGGCGTGCGTGCGGAAGGGCGCGCCGGCCACGCGCGCGTCGCGCACGCGCACGTCCACCGCGTGCTCGCCCACCTCCGACGCCGTGAACTGCGCCACCAGGCGGGCGCCTCGCGCGAACACGTGCGCGGCAACCGGCCGGCGCGACGGCGCTGCCAACACACACACACGCGCGCGCTTAGTGGAGGGCGCACGCTGGCCAGCGGCGCACCACGGTTTCTGGCGACCGCTTTGGGGGGCAACTGTTAATTAATTGCGCAATAGAACTATTGGAATCGCGCTGAATAAGAAAGGAACACATAATTTTTGCAACTTTTCAGGTGGAAGGAAACATTAAATAATTACAATTAATATAAATATTTTATATTCTACCGTCCAATATTTCTACGTAAATTTGCTATAATAGCCTAAAGACTGTTATGACGCGATTTCTTTCTGCACAGTATAATTTGCCTTGCATTAAAGAACAACTTTCCATATTTACAAAATTGCATTTTTGACTTTCTCATGCTGATTCAATTGCTATGAAAAATAAATTTCGTGACGATCAAAATTACCAATGTAAGAGAAGAAGTACGAATACAACACAATTTTCAATTACATCGTGGCTCGACGGTTCACACTTCGGCGCGGAGAGCGAACCAGGAAGTACACGTTTCACAAGCATTCCCTGTGAGAGGGGAGCCAACAATCAACAAAGGTGCAAAAATGATAACTTTGAAATGTTTACTTCGCATTAAGGTGCACAGAGAGTTAATTTACAAAAGCGAAAATGTTGCATTTTGGCCACGGAATTGGGTCGCAGAAACCATAGTGCGACGTCTTACGCACTTTAGTGATGTTATGTATAGAGATTATTCTAAGAAGGGACTGCTTTGACAGCTAGGTATTCGCTATTGTTGGCAAACAAAAGTGCAGGATATGATTCGTTCAATTTGTCAATGTGTTTGTTGTAGTTGACTTACTTGTAAATGACTTTGTCACTACCTCTTGCAATATCGGTCGGCGTGACGTTCATTTACTTTGCGATCTGTCATCTTGGTCCCTTCTTAGAATAACTTATCTAAAGAAGTCAGTACGTCGGTTTCAATGGTGAATAAAAGTTATATTCCTGCTGGTTTTTAACTACTTGAACAATTTGTATTATTATACCTCAGAAAGGCATCAAAATGAAATAACAATATATTTTTTTATAAACTATTGTATACAAGAGAAACTTAATAAATTTAATAAAAAGAAAGAGTTAACTGTAACACACAGAATCATCTATGTAATCAAGTTTTCACAAGTTTTAAATAACTGGTAATCATGCGTTGAATTCAATATATAAATTAATAATTATTTATTCATTGAGTTGTAGAAAAGGGAAAGAAACAAGGTGTGTGAAGTTTACCGAATACAACAATGCACAGTATTTGAAATACTAACATTTGTTTTGGAATTAAAGACTATTAGGAATAATAACACATTAGAGGAGTTGATTTGGTACCTGTGATGGAGACTGTGACGTCGAGGGGGTCTGTGCTGCCGTCGGGCAGTTCGATGTCGAAGGACGCCTGGCGGTTTACGGGTACCAGCTTCAAGGCGTCGCCTGTCACCACGGCGTTCACGATGCCCAGAGGAGACCCGCGAGAGGCCGCTGCAAACAACACGACACTTTGAGATCCATGCTGAAGGTAATAGAAGCAACATGCACATACACATACTCTAAGTACATGTTGACGGTGTACAGTCCAGGATATGAAATTCAAACACTGACATCCATACATCAATACTGAGATACATAGGTAGAAAATAGATTTTGATTTCAGCATATTTATTCAAGAAGATCATTATGTAGTGTAATAATTAATTGTTAAACAAGGAACTAGGTCAGAAAGCTTTCAGCAAATAAGGGCCCTTGCGGGGACTTGTAACTTTAGGTGGAAACTGATAACATGCGAACTTTGTAATGTTGGGAGTTCATTAAAAAATATTCGCGAGAATAAAGATCACCAAATTGCATATACTCCACTGTTACTTATATTTCCAGAATTAACAGTTATAAGTGAATTTCCTTTAGAAAGTACACTTGTGGTGCAGCTTTCCTCGTCATACTTGGCATAGTTTCTAGACGAATTGCAGTAATTAGGGCTAAATGAACACTCAACACAACCGGCAAGTTGAAAGATCTGGTTGCGCCTGTGGCTTTGTATGTTTCCTGGATGCATTTATTACGTTTTTACATTTTACATTAAACCTCTTCAAATGTTATCATTAACTTTTATATCAAATGACGAAATATGTTTCCAAGAGTTGCTCTTCTTCTTCACTTATTCTTTACTGTCTAATACACATGGGGAATGAACGATAGTGAAAAATTTTTGCATATTCCAATAATTTATAGAGATATAACACATTTCTTTCGAAGTCATTTACACGATACAGCGTTTTCGAGAAGACACGATGAAGACAGCTGAGGCAATTATGGATCAAAGGCAAACAGCTCCTGAATATAGGCAACCCACAGTACTGACGTGTATTGAGATACGGTGGTTGCTACTTCAATTTTCGTAGGCGCAAAATTATTACCTCCTTCACAATATGATACATACAAGTACTTTAAAAAAGAACATATTATTTGAAAGCATTAATTTAGTACGTTTTAAAACTTTCGTATTTGCGTGTAAATGCTTAGAATAAACACAAGATATTTCACTGCAGTAATGCCTCTCTAAATCGGTTGTATGTAAACATATCGTGCCTCCATTTGTTTTTACAAGACCAGAACATATCGGCCAATTCATATTCTCTGCGCCCTCTTCCCAAAATTGAACTCAGGACATGTAGAGACAAGTGGCCGGATTCTTATTTATTTGCTCTGTTTCGGTAGTACGCAAAGCAGACAACTACAATTGCCTATTACTTACACAGGTTGAGAAGACTGCTTGCACGGGGTCCCCCGAACGAGGTTAGTGGCTGCGGAGAGGAAGTGTTAAATCGGGGATGCACTGCGTCCACTTCTTCAGTCATGTGGTTCGTGTGGTTCGACATATGGTTAAGCGTTGTGGTAGTCGATGTCTGGTGATGCATACTGCTGGAGCTCGACTCTTGGACTCGCGAGAAACCTGCGACACACGTACAAAATATAAAATGTTAAATTGAATTGAATTGAATTTGCCTTATTTTACGTGGCGTGACTTAGGCCATCAGACCTGCTCTTCCGTCTGACCACGCAAATTTCGCTACGCTCCTTTCATCAACTAGCAGAGAAAAGGAGATATTTCTTGGGCGAGAACAGGGGATTTGAATTCAGCTCAGAGGCTTCATTTGGGCTTGAGGAATCTTTACATGCAAGTAAATTACTAACATGGGAATGTTCATAAGATTTGAATATATATATATATATATATATATATATATATATATATATATATATATATATATAGAGAGAGAGAGAGACAGAGAGAGAGAATATTTCATTTTAGTTGAGAGACTCTCGTCAATACACCACATCGAAAACAACATACTCACAACATAAATAGTTGGGTTAACTATTTTAGTTACGTTTATGTATGTGGATAAGTAGTTTTGAACAATGTGCTAAATATAATGTGATTTGAATCCCAACATCAGATTTAGAAACCGTCATTTGCTGTGCTTAAATTTAAACTAAGACTCACATGATTTGCGATTTTGACTCACGAAAATTTGAATCACATAATCAAATCGATCGTTTCCCTCGTCTGTTCCTTCATTCACTATACTGTGGGGGGGGTGAGGGTGAGGGCAGAAGTGTGCGCACTCACTCTGCGAGGCGCCGGCGGAGTCCTCGGGCCGCGCGGCCAGGTTGGCGAGCGACTCGAGCGAGCCGTAGGAGAGCAGGTTGCGCGTCTTGGCGATGGCGTCCCACGAGTCGGCGCGCGAGTTGAGGTTGCCCAGCATGGCGGACACGCGCACGTTGGAGGTGGTGTCGACGCGGCTGCCGCTGCCACCCACGTGCTCCTCCAGCAGGTCGAGCGAGCCGCGCCGCGCCCCCACGCCGCCCCCGCCGTTCAGCTGCGGCGACGGGCTGTGCGTGTGCGACTGCGCGGAAAAGGTAGTGAGGGCTTGGTGAAATATAATCTTTATAACCTTTTTCATTACAAAGAAAACAATCAGTGTTATAGCTCTATTTACATGACGCAATTCATTTACATAATACTCCTCGCAAAACGCTATTATCAATTTTGACTTAACGAAAATGGTGTTAAGACAATTACCGAAAGAAAATACATTATAATTGATGTGGAAGGTAAGCAACAGATATATTGTAATAATGAATAAATAAAGTAATTTTTAGAAAAATAATAATTGGAAAATACATAGGTGGGAAACGTACAAAGTAAAAGGGATGTGCCATTTTCATGTTCTTTATTTAGGGAAATGAAAAGAATTTATCTCAAGAAATTCTGTTCTCATTTTAATAAGGGTTATAAAATTCAAAGTGCAGCAAGATTGCGTTACATCTCAGAGAACATGAATCCTTTTATACTGTCATTCAATATTTTCCCCTATTTTATTGCCTGACGTACATCCTGTTAGCGCGGCATTTCTGTCAGCTTTGTGTCAAGAGACATGCGTGAAAGAACGACAGTTTATTTTTAAAATGTGTTTACGCGGAAAAACAAAACCGACAAGGGAGAGATTTAATATTAAAGAATTACAGAAATGTGATGGCACTGGAGTGTTCTCATTGAGAGGCAATACCTCTTTTACCTTTTCCTGGGGGAAAGACTTCTTTCTGCCCTAAAGCATACATAGCAAATGAGCTAATGTCTTAAGAAAGACTGCTAAAAGGGGACCCCAAGTTTATGACACAATAAATCGTTCATTCCAGAATATGGAGCTAGACCGCGGTAAAAGTTTTTTTTATTTTTTCAAAACTTTATATTTTAGATCGAGTGGTACATTTTTCTTAGTAACTATTGAGACCAGTGATTTGGAGCAAAGTTATGTATCATTACGATACAAATATACAATTATCTATGAACGATTGGTTTTATGTAATATATTATTGAATAGACAATTTATATTGATCGTATCGTTTCTCAAAAATGAAATCAGTTTCCATCTATGAAGACATACGAATTCAGATGAAGTAAAATGCTTTATTTATAATTGCAATGCATTTGAACGGCGTGAAGCCAATAGTTACCGAGAAAATTGAACCTTCCTGGCGTGTGTGTGTGTGTTGGGGGGGGGGAGGGAGGTACTCACGGGGCTGGGCCCGCGCCGGAAGTGCAGCGGCGAGGCGGCGGGCGAGCGCGAGTGGCCGTTGGCCAGGCGCGGCAGCGGCGACGCGCGGGGCTCCTCCAGGTGCGTCCGCGACAGCCGCTGCTCCAGCGTCGAGCTCGACCGCAGGTCTGCGCACAGTACATTCACGTGCAGGCGAACACGAACATGTGGATGACTAATGCATCCGGACTGACTTTCCGGTACGTGAGAACAGTTCTAAATGAATTTGAATTATTCTGCCAAACTGAGCTTGTCATCATGGTCATGAAAGCAGATGGGATCAGTGTAGAAAGATTCAGCGGTAAAAATTTTGAAATTGCGTTCTTGATTGTAGTTTTTTACTTAACGACAAAGACACGTAAGGTCTATTATTATTATTATTATTATTATTATTATTATTATTATTATTATTATTATTATTATTATTATTAAGTGATGTCGTAGAACAGCCGAGAGCATTCGAAGATATCTTAGCATTCAAATGTGTTGATTTGGAAGTTGTGAGGCAAAAATACCAAAGGCGTGCTCAGATGTCCATGTGATATACAGTATTATTTATCAGAAACTCGTAATTTTCGAAATGTAAACCAATATTTATAATTCGTCATATAAAAAGATATTCTGCAAATTAATCATCAGATATTCGGAGAATATTTGGTAATTTAACAGTAATTAGTGGCCTGGAAACTACACTTAAAGCTGAAACCCACACACTGCTGCAGATTATCTTAGTTAAATTTGTTGGTATAGAATATAGAGAGAGCTTTTCATGCAAGCGATCATTTTAGCTGTCAAAGTTTGTATTCCATGAAGGAAATTATTTGGTCTGCTTACTGTGACACTGAAAGCTCATTATGTGTTTCATGTCATTTCAAATATCGTTCGTTAAAATTTTCATGAACCATTTTTTTCCGAAATATGGATCGCAGAAATATAATTATGTCTGGTGGAGTTTAATATTAAAATTCCTTTTGAAATTTCACTTCTTTACAAGAATATTTTTAATTGTGTTACTCAGGTATAGCGATTGAATTGTAAATTAATTTATTTATTGCTAAAAAATTTTTTGCGCCTTTCACCAATTACTTTAGTTATTATAATTTTCATTTAATTCAGCGCCCAAGAGTTTTATTAGAGCGCTCTGAAGGATAATTTTATGAATTCCTAAACTTTTTTGAAACTGCTTTTCCGAAAATTAATGACAATTTTTCTCTGTCAAAAACTGAAACTACATGTAAAACTATCAAGAAGCGATATCAAGTTGACGGATGGCTGTCCGGAGCTAGAAGACGTTGTGGCTGACGTTTTAGCCAAGATATTGGTACAGTATTCTGAGGTAAACTAATAAATTCGCCCAGGGAACGATAGACGTCGGCCGCAGTTACCGACGCCATTAACTCTGTAATGTCTGGATAGCTGAGTAATTACAATGAATTAAGGTGTCAGTGAGAGATAATCGTAAGCCACACTCAAGCAGTTTTGAGATACATCTGATTTAGGTTTGTCAAACACACGCATATCATTGGAAAACCAAAACAATCAGACAGATGTTATCCTGAAATAATTGCAAGAAAACAGAAACTCACAAAACTGAATGGACATGGTGTATATTTGAGATTATAGTAGTATGATCAAAATGAAAACCCCAGAATCGTTGCTTCTGAATGTCTCTCACTGACGCAACCATAAAAAACACATAAGTTGTCACTTACATAACGCGGATTTCATATTAAATCATGGAATCACCGCTGGGGAAGGCAGGCTTACCATCTGAGAAGTAGCCGCCGGTGCTGGTGGTGACTTGCGGCGTGGGGGGCGTCACCTTGACGAAGGGGGGCGACAGCGTCGGCGACCGCGCGCGCGCCTCCACTGTACACGCGCATGCGCACGCTGTCACTTGGCTCCACACACAAGTCAACTCACCTCACGCAAAAGACACGATCAGTACAAAGTGGCTACGTTTAGGAACATTTGCAATAATTCATTTCACATTTCGAGGGAGGTAGGGTACCCGAATTGGGGAAAACGTTTAATAGACGGAATATCGACTTTCTATTTTTAGATCAAAAGTATAATTTGTTTGTTACAATAGATATTTCAGTTATTTATGAAAATGTTTATGGTATTTTTTGAGAATAACTACGTGTCTTTATTGTAATATTTTTATTGGTTATTAAGAATTTTTCAAATCGAAAGGAAACACTGCACAAATAATAAAAAAATAATAAAAAATAATGCTTATTATTTCTATTACTGTGTTAACATTATCTATAACATCTATAACAGTGTTAACATTAGATGTCATTTTAATTCAATATTAAAGCAATAAATATTGAAAATGTCCAATTCTTTCTGAATCATTCTGCAATATCTTATATAAAAATCCAAGAAAGGAATGTCCTTTCGGGAATCGTCCATGACGTTATTAAAATTCGGCCATAAAACAACTTATTGAAAAAAGAACACTTTTTTATAATATTTCTCTTGCTTCAAGATAGTGCAGTTTCTGTTTAAGGGTCATATCAGATATCAAAATTCGGGTTACGTATCGAGGTTCAATTATCGACATTCTAATTATGTTTTAGGATAATACATGTTGTTCTCCCAAAGAATTCTCGCTAATTTCAATGAGACCGTTAATACCGTCTATCAAGTGACAATTACCATTTATTTAGAGTGCTTTACTAACGTGGCGTTCGAGAATTATGGATACTAAACACTTTGACCGATAATTGAGGGATTGGATTTCACTTCTATGACGTTATCCATTCCAAATAATTACGTTATTGCAGTTAATGGTTAAGGTAACAGTTATTGCTTTTCCCATTTACATTACACAGTAAAGCAGATAAGTTTATGAGATGGAATCATTACAAAGCATCAAAATAACTCTTTAGAAATCTACAGGTTATGTTAAGGACAATGAGCACAGACATTATCTACCATGTTGTTTCTGTACAAGTTAAAACAATATTATTTATAATATAATGTTATCCTAAATCATTATTTACATTTGTGAGTGGATAACACCATGTCTGAAAACCTTTTTTCGTTTCACTGGTAGAAAATTCAATCAACCTATAAAGTCATCCATAACAATCAAACCCTTATTTCTATTTTTAATTAAAATTATTTAAGCAATGTATTTTATCTGCATCATGCTATCAAATTTAACATGTGATTTGCAACCCTCAAATGCTGGTGCCTGTACTTCATCCATAGTCGTACGAGGTATTGAATATTCACTGTGATTATTTATGTGATTACTACTACGTAATCATTATTCAAGCGAGATGTGTGATGAATGTTCTTTCACAGCAGGAATAAAATGACGGAAATTGAACCGTTTTTGGTAATGTAACCTGCATTTCTTTTTTTCCTCTTTGAATGTATCTGTAATAGCATTCATGGCACTTCGGCCAGACGAGACTTTTAGATCGGTGTGTCTGCCTGTCATCAGGATGAGAATGTAGTACAGAGCCCTGTTGTATTAATGATAAACAAATATAGCTTTACTAAAAAAACAAAAAAATCGATTTTTGGTGAAAAAGTAAACAGGTCTGCGAGTTGTAAAAAGATGTCATGATTATTTTCTGTTTATTGTAAAAAACGGAATAATGAAAACTCTTAACAACGCTGTTGACTTAAATGTCATGCAAAACAACGATTATTTGATCCAGGCAGCATCCTTATGGCTTCACACAGAAATATCCGACATACATTGATGAAAATATTTATTGTTTGATCTAGTATTTATTTCTATTTAGACTATTCGACTGTCCAACACATCATAATGGTTGGTGGGTGCATTGTAGATACAGATAATTTTTCTGTTTGTTTTCTGTTTTAGAAATAAAGAAATGTGACTTAAAATAATTTTAACCTTCAAAGAATTTCCCCTGAGTCAATTACTGACAAGTTCCATGTATACCTCCAAAATTATGTTAATATGGACTATTCGACTCATAGTAATGGATGATGAATGCATTGTGGATAACGATAATTTTGCTGCTTGTTATCTGCTTTAGAAATAAAGATATGTGACTTAAAAAAATTTCCCCTGCATAGTATTTCCCTCGAGTCAACCAGTGACAAGTTTTCTGGAAGCCCCCAACCCCGCCTGTCAGTCGCTCTGTGGTGGAGCGTGGTGGGCGTGGGCGGAGCGTGGGGCGCGGGCACTGACCTGAGTGCAGGTGCAGGGGCGTGGATGCCGCGGGCCGGCGTCGCAAGGGCGTCTCCTCGGCCGGCGACGAGCGCAGCCGCGCCGGGGACGCGAACCCGGGACTGCTGCCGCCGCTCGCGTACAGCCCGCCGCCTGCCCGTTAGTGCGTTAGTGAGCGCGTTAGTGGCAGTGGCGACGCAGCAGGCATGCACCACACACTGGCTTAGGTTTGTTAAACATTTTCGTCAGAATTTACGGGACTGTTAAGATGTTAACTTATTACAATTAATATCATACTTACATTCCATGCTTAAAAGTAATTACACATTGCTATATAACACCGTTGTTGAACTTTTACTTTTATTACTGTGCAATGCACTCATTACCCTGTATTGTTTTTGTTATTGGAGTTTAGCGGAAATTATTTCGATCGTCGTACTCTGACAAGTTGTTAAGTATGGACCGTAGCATCTGTTTTGATGATACATTACTGCTTTTCAGTGTGGGATAGTAAAAACATTGTGAGTAGGAAAGAGCACTCAATACAATATATTATTTAAAAGGTGGGTATATCAAAAAACTATTCTATTAACAAAAATAAATTCATAAATATTTTAAATAATATGTTGTAGGAATTTTAATTCGATTTAGATATTAGAGAAAAGTACATAAATGGCTGATTCTGTTTTCGGGGTTATTGATTTATAGTTTATGCGCTCATTTTAATGAGACGTTAAATTTCTGTTTTTATTTTCTAATTTATATAAGTTAGTTTCAATCCATTAATTTTTTTCGGCGAATTACACAAACGCTATTTTCATCTTGAATCATAATTAAAAGCGGAGTATGATTAAAAAACAGAAGTAGCAAATATGGACTATCAGCACACTATGTAAATTACTGAAACGAAATCAGCCAGTTTGTTTGCAAATACTATCTCCAAAGGGTTAATTATTTAATTCTTATTTTGCACAAATTATATTCCATGAGCGGAAATTGGACAAGTATTTAAGAGCACTGAGTGTAACAAGTAATGCGCAAAACGAATATTAATAAATGTGCTTGCATTTGCACGTGTGTTACGTGTGGTTAGGCACCAAATTAAGAGTTAATGCTGCGTTGTGGGTAAACTGTGATTTAGTGTATTATAAGTACAACACGTCCAGCCGGCGGGCGTAGCCATTGACAGCTGTAAAGAGTCGAGTCAAACACGAAATTGGTTTTGAACCATAAGCTTTCGTACGTTGTCACACAATATGTCATAACTTATAATATATAGGATAAAAACTAACGAAGTCTGCAATTGTGTTTACTTATTGATGTACTTCATTGGTGTTTTAGTTTGACAAAAAAAAGTACAGAGATGTGATAAAATGTCAAAGAGAATCAACCCTTCTTCATTTCAATCATTTTTTTAAAATTGTATTTATTATGTGTTCTGTTCTAATGTTCGCAGTACTCTGGTATTCATTTATTTCCAGCGTTTGCGTGAATTCTTGCGTTGCTTGGCCTCGTGTGAGGGGGGGGGGTGCGTGCGGTGGGGAGCGGAGGGGACTCACCCGACTGGGCGGAGGCGCTGCGCTCCCGCCACGACGACGACGACTCCTGGTGGTGCAGGGGCGAGGGCGAGGCGCTGTGCTGCAGCAGGGGCGAGGGCGTGGCGTTGTGGCGCACTGTGGGCGACGCCGACTTCTCGCGGGGGCCGCGCGGGCCCGACACGCGGACCACGTACGGCGACCCTGTCAGAAGAATCGTTTTACTCGCTTACTTCTCCTAACAAAAGGACAATGAAAACTGTATGTAACGTGTGAGGGGAAAAAGTATCAGGTGCACATTTTTTGTGATTCAGAAGTCGTTATTTATTATGCACAGGTGCATTATGAATAAGGATACCAACAAACATAGTTTGCAACATTTGATAATGAGATTTTTAGTTTCCAAGGAACAGAAGATATATTTCATCGGCAAACTAATTATTTTTTTTATTTTATAGTATTCATGTCAAAATAACCAACCGCACCATACTGCTCCCGCAACTAGTAAAACGAAAGCTCAACAAAGTGTGAGCATAGTGCAAGGGGCCATCTCAGCATTGGTTCAATGAATCTGAAGAAAAAAACCCTGATCGACATGGGGATGGTTGGTCACATATCACATAACACACTCACATTACCCATTCCTCATGTCAGACTTTTCATCTCCTCCGTTTCCTTTCAGTACCTAGAGTGAACTGTAGGAGGGCGATTAACCAAGCAAGTACAGAAACGGATACTGAACGGATATTAGTTTTTTTAAATCATAAGAAAATTAGTGGCTCCAATAAAAAGTCTGTAAAATGAATCAATGAATAATAAGTGTACGTATCACATTTCAACACTTTATATTTTCATTTGTATACACATTGTGTAATGAACAATGCCATAAGTTCAGAATAATAAAATATTAACGCAATTCTAGGACTATTTGAAATTTGTCCTGGATTTGAATTGTTTCGACATTTGCGCTCACTGCAGACTCTTCTTTCTCTGTGTGCTCAACATAATAGAAACTTTAAATTAGTCCGCATTAGACGTATTTTCTGTGAATTTTACGTATACTTCTCTTAAAATAATATTTATGAACCTAATACTCACTCGTAAAGTGGTAATTCCACTGATCTGGTTAAATAAATTAAAAAAATATTCATAAAGAATATTAATCGCTTCAATATATAGTATTAAAACACAAATAAAAAGTGAATAAGCTCTTGACCTGTAAACGTACGAAATAAAAATATTACACCAAAAATGCAACTACTTCGTGTGGTATAGCAAGTGGTAAAAGAACGAAAATGGAATGAATAAATGTAAATGCTGAATATTCGCAGTTGAATATTATATAAGAATGCACATTTGTATGAGTGTCAAGTGAGTTGTGGCTATCTGATGTATGTTTTGTGCCCGATTTAATGAACTACAAGAAATTATTGTTTGAGGTAATAAACAATATTCTTATTTTTAGTTCATTTATTATTGATATATACAGTGTAATATTTTTGTAATCTTTGTCTTTTGTATTGTGATTACTTAAAAATTCTATACTTAGCATAAACTAATAATTAACTACACTAATTACATAATGATGTAGGGGACTGATAGAACACATACTAATTTAGCCCTTAAAATATCGAAGAATGCTTGTAACGGGAATTTTTTAAATACAGATTGGGAAATGTTTGATTGATACTATGTTGTACTGGGCGGGTTGGGCTATTGAGTTTATATTTGAATAGAAATTATTAGAGAGGTAGGTAGTGGGTGGTGGGTTTAATTATTAATGAATTTGTTTGTTTGATATTCACTAAGGGGGTGTAATTAGAAAGTTAAGACATTATTAGAGGTAGGTAGTAGATGGAACGTTTAATTTTTAATGAAGTTGATGCTAAGTGTATGTTGATATGTATGGTTATTTGTTTATATTTGTGTGACATTTAACCTTATTGGGCATACATGCAATATAAGCGGTCTAATTATTGTTTTATATGATACTATATGATACTACAGTTTAGTGAGAATCTGCCTTTTTTGTTGAGTAAAAGCTTTAGTTGGGTGAACTTAAATTTTGGGATACTTGAGATTAAGTTGTTGTTTATCTGGAAAAGGGCGAGGTAGAATATAGTTTCATGGACAAAAGTTTGGCTCCTTCTTTTAATGGGCCAATCTACTATTTTAAGTAACCGTTTTTGGGTTGTGTTTCTAATGAAGTTAAACGGCTGTACTTAAAAATAACGAGCGAACTGAGCTGTATCTGTGTCAACAGTAGTGGGTATCTTTTCTGCAAGGAGATTGAACGAGATGGGAGACAGGAATGAACCTTGGGGAAGTCCTTCTATTAGTTTTCCCGAATTGAAAATATATGTACCAACTGCCACCGTGAAAGTTTTGTCTACTAAGAAGTCTTTTATTACGTGAAGAAAGTACTTGGGAAAGTTTTTATTGAATGGAGTTTTTGTCTGCCATATTCGTTTTCGATATAAATTAACGATAAGAATGTGATTAGTGTGTGCTTTTAATCTAGAAAAGTTCTATGGATATGTTCGGAAAGACTGAGCAACTGATGTGAGACAGAAATTTGTATTTTCTGTATGGGTATTGTGATAAATCATTTTGGATTTTGGGACCATCACAAATAGGAAAAAAATACAATATTCAGTATTAAAGTTCAGAACATGAAATGTTGAGAGGAAAACAAACGAATTTCGATAGAGACGAAATCACTGCGATTGTCAAGAACAATAAGTTAAAGAGTCCAAAGTAAGAATCAAGAAGTGTGAGAAAAATAAAGTGTATTGGTATTTTCAGGACATGTTGAGTAATTTCCGACCGTATTAAATTAATAATATGAATTAAATATACGGGATTGTCAAGGAAAACAATGAAGGAAGTTAGCTAGTGAATAGCAAACGAAAAGAAGAATAGAGTAGGACAAATGAACAAGTTGCGCAGGAGGCATCATGAAGAGGCGACTTTAAGGACTTCTTTTAACCGAGGAGAAGACAGTTGATATTATTATTGAACGATAGAGAACGAAGGTATACACGAGACAAAGAGGATGTAGATGCAGGTGTTCTCGCAAGATGAATTTTGCAAGTTTCAGGAGATTATTAATCAGAAATTAAATAATGAAAAGGAGCGGCCAATAGTGTGCAATGTGTTCTGTGAATTTTGCAGAATTCTGACTTTAATTTAGCAAGATGGAATTGGGCGAGCGAAAAGCAAGGTATCGTAAGGCGTTAATATAGCAGGGAAGAAAATATATTAGCAGTCACGGCGACCAAGTTTGCTGTTATCTTCAAACAAGACGTGAACAGACATTATTTGCATCATCATTGTGAGAAAAAGAGGTCATGTGCCGTTTAAGTTTTAAATGAGCAATAAAATTAGTAAGAAACTAGTAGAAAGGTAACAATGGCCATGAATGCTGTATCAGAAAATGAATGTTTGGATAAGATGGACACGCGTGTGAGAATTTTACGATATTTGAAAGTAGGGTAGTTATTTATAAATGTTATTAGTTTGTGCATTGTATGTGTTTAACTGTTACACCGGAGCTAGGTCAAATAGGATCAATAGGTAAAATAGTGTATAGTTTATTCCGTATTAAGTCAAGGGATAACATACGAAATTGTGTTAGGGACTGGGCAATTATAAATAATACTGAACGACACAATATTTCATTTCAAAGATGATTAAATAAATTAAATATACCGCATAAGAAGTTCACCTGAACTTCCAAATGGTCAGTTGGCTGTCGAACCACAAAATATAATTTTCTTTGACCATAAGCAATTGACACTGCAGTATCGAAATAGTAAAATCGCGATTACATACTAATAAGATAAATGATATAGGCACGTGTCGGCAAATGTTAATATGCTGTTTTAAGTAAATAGAAATGGGGAATCGTGAATCTGAATACAGTTTACAGTTCATTCAGAAGGACACTTAATTTTTTATCATTACTTTTTCGAGAATTTTAAATAATTATGGGAAAGGTTAATTGGTTTAAAGTTTTCAGTAATACTTTGGTTTTTATTTGATTTTGGTATAAGTATCTGGTTTTCTTTTCACGATATTTTTGTGAATTGACAGCGAGTGTTGTTGGTTATATTAAGGGGCGTATTATAATTTATTACTTTGCTTTTAGTTATTATCATATTGAATATCACACAAAATGTTGTTAAGCTTATTTGTATTCTTTAGAATCAAAATATTTCATTTTTATTAGTATAAAATAGATGTATAGTTATCGACATAAATGTGTGATTCTAAAATTCGAATGTCAATTGGTTGACAGTCTGCTTATTTAATAGTTTCATTTACGACTCAATTACGTTTAGTTTCAAGAGGGAATCAGAATATTCATCGCTAAGGAGTGGTGGGCGTTGGCTCGTTGCATCACCGCACGGCCGCACATGGCGCGCGCGTTTGCATACTGCGCGGCCAGTCCAATCCAAAGCGAGCGTCGTGGCGCGTGGGCTCACCTGTGACGTCCTGGCCGTTGAAGTACATGTAGATGCGGTGCTTGCCGCCGTACAGGGGCGTGAAGGTGACGCGGTGCAGGCCGCCGCCCAGGGACTCGGCGCGGTGCGGCAGCGAGCGGCCGGACGACACGATGTCCAGCACCACGTCCCCCAGGCCGCCGGTGCCCGTGGTGTCCAGGGTGAACGTCACCGGCTGCCCCGCCGACGCGGACACGTTGTCCAGACCACGCAACTGCCCAACAAACAAAGACAAGGAATCAGACAAAAATTATACTGGGAACAGTTCACTGGATTGATTGTTTTGTGTTTACGGGCGCGTCGACTGCTCAGGTAATTATTCCCTTAAATGTGGTGCATTTTATCGCGGGAGTGGCGCCGTTCTTCCCCAGCTGGATGGAGAAATTCGGTGCCGATCTACACCTAGGCTTAATTTCCCACTCAGGTCTCCTCTCAGCGGGTCAAGTTCTAATCTGACTGGTGCCTTGACATGCATTGTAGTGGATGCATGTAAGCGAGTGAGTAAGCAAGAAGTGAGGATAGGACAACGAAAAAGGAAAGATTGCGCGCTGTCCGTGGCCCTTTTGTAAGGATATTGCTCCGACATTCGCCTGGTGCTGATAGGTGAAAACCGCGGAACATGCAGAGTTCATTTGATTGATTTATTGAAAAAATGCAACAAAAACTGTAAGTGACGTATGGGAAAGAAGTATACTCTGCGCATTTCGTTTTGAGTTCCAGATTCATTTTTCTATCATATTACTATTACATACTTGAATGATGAGTAAATGTATAAAGAAAACAAAGTAAGCAACATCAGAAAACTTGAAGAAAGAAAACTTTTTGTATCGGCAAACGAACCCCAGTTTTGATTTTATACGGTTATGCAGCTTTGATTTTTCAGAGCTCGGGAATGCGGAAACTGTTGGATGAGTTCACTTTTAGCTCTACAACCGAAGGCGGTCCTGAATTGCCATTTACGAAGTTCGACCTTTCTCTGCCATTTCCGAGCGTGTAATTAAATTTAGATCAAAGGTTTGCGTAAAAGTTCTTTTACTGTCGAGAACAATTTTGACGTGTGTGCTAAAATGGAAATGCATGCGTTCTTTTAAATTGAACATGTTATTTCTGTTTTCTCGTCTTACCATCAAAATAGTACATCGTCGTGATTGGAATACAAGATCTTATAATAACACGACAGTCCAGAGTCGTTAATGTCCTCTTTCCTTGCAACACACGGAGGATTTCCAGTTTGTCATTAGAATGTTTTGATGAGGTGAAATCATCAGTCTGAGTTTTATTGTTCCTGCAATATTCAATGAATCAAACTGCTAGGATATCGTCGTTTTTTTGTTAAAAAGAGAAAAGGAAAGGATGTGGCGGTTGTTGTGTAGAATGTGGTTCACCTTTGCTGTTTCCAATTTTTGATACGAAAATAAAGAATTGTGAAAATTCCAAATGATGTGTTTCATTATTAAATTAAGCTTTAAAAAAATATTCATAAACCTGATGGACAATTCGATTTTCAGCAATCGGAGAGACATTTTGAACTCCTAACATGAGATAAATTTAAGTTGTTTACTGAAGTCATTTTAGAAACTTGATTATTGTAGTTTGTTCGTAAGAAACTATAATTCATTCATGAACAGGACGGGATAAGGGACGAGGGTAGATATCATGGTATCATTTGGATCTTTTAGAGTTGCTATTACAAGGAGCGGAGTGCACCTGTTGCGCGAAACCGCAGTGCTTTAGGTAGAATTGTATCCTTCCACAACCACAATGGAGCAACATGTAATTCACTGCACATTACAGTGAGGAAGAGAATCGTGAACTTCTGCAACAAAGTACGCCGTACCTTGTTGCTCGGATAACCGCTACAGTTTAAAGAGAAAGAAGAGGCTTGAAATGTTACTAGACAATAGGTTTTCAAGAGGAAAGGGTAGTAACTTTTAAGATGACTTCAAGCATTGACTACAAATTTCCCGTTCAAAGGAGAGACAATAAAAACATAGAATTAAGCAGAATGACTACACAGACTATGGGGACAATGTAAAATTGAGTTCTAAAAACATCTTAATTACAAATTTGAGAGTACTTGCAATAAATGTTCTAAAGAAATGACTAAGAAGGAACTATTATTATACAACGGAGTGAGCAATGACTTTTTTGAGACCAAAAGGTCGGAATTATGCAACAAGAAATACTGAACATATTAGGGTAGAAAAAATAAAAGAAGAGAATGAAAAATTAAACTTATTTTGTGTTCTTGACCTTAAGTACTATCTGAGACAATGCGGTTTCCTACACGAAAACGGAGTGTGTGTGAGTATGTGTGTGAGAGTGTGAGCGTGTGTGGGTGTGTGAATCGGTGTGTGTGAGTGTGTGTGAGTGTGTGTGAGTGTGTGTGTGAGTGTGTGTGTGAGTGGCTGAGTGTGTGTGTGGCTGAGTGTGTGTGCAGCTGAGTGGGCGCGTTGCTGAGTGGGTGAGTGGATGAGTGGGCGCGTGGCGGAGTGGGCGTGTGGGTGGATGAGGGTGGCGGAGGAGCGCACCTTAACGCCGTTGGGGTCGAAGACGAAGCAGGTGAAGGGCCCGCCCTGAATGTGCTCGCCGCCGTGGGTGACTGCGATGCGCCACTCGCCGGGCTCGTCGGGCTGGAAGGCGGCCGAGTAGACGCCGCCCTGCTCGCGCACGGGGCACGCCAGCGACCGGCCCGTGGGCGCGTGCGCGCGCACGTCCACCTCACGCGTGTTGGCGCCGTTCGAGTTGATCTGCAACGACAGCACCTCGCCATTAGCGGCGTCATTGCCACAAAACGACACTTTGCGATTGCATTATTCATGATCACAATACGAAGGAACACATTCCCCCCTCTCTCTCTATCACACACACACACACACGCGCACACACACGCGCGCGCGCGTGCATACACACGTATACACATACGCGCACCAAAAACGCTCTGACATATTATTAAATTAAATTAAACGCTACTGACTTATTAAATTAATACATATTGTAAAAGTACAAACAGCAATATATATATATATATATATATATATATATATATATATATATATATATATATATATATATATATATATTGAAATCAATCTAATCTATTTAATTTTTCAATCAATTTAATTTGTACGTGCATTTTTATTGCATTTTTTACCCTATTAATTTTCTGAGGTCTTAACTTGTTGTAGAGACTAAAAAATGTAAATGGAGTTTATCAGGAAAATAAAGAAATAAAGAAAGAGCCGAAATAATATCATCGCCACTCTAAAATCTAATACAAAGCACTTTTCTGTTTCTGAAATTCACACGTTTTTATTAATATGCTTTGCAATCGACGATGACTTCATTTAGAAAACAGTTCATGTAATCAAAACATTGATTTTACACAACAAATTAAAGAAAAAATTCTTGAACAAAACAATTATAACTAGTGAGTCTAAATATTGTTGAAATTAGAGTTGTTGATGAACATAAGAATACAATTTTGAACGTGCGTTGCTCCGTGAAGTGCTTACAACGAATCACTCTTTTTGAGCTAAGTGTACTTTACCTCAGGCCTGAAGATTGCACTGACTTCTAATCCCAGACATTGCACTATTTTCAACATACTGTTTTAGTCAACGCAGGAGAATATTAGAAACAGAGGGTGTGGGCACTCACGAGGACTTCGACGATGGAGCCGACGGCGCAGGGCTCCATGCCGGGGAAGCTGATGGAGGAGAGCTCGGGCACCGCGCGCACGTGCATGGGGCAGTGGCGCACGGCCTCGCCCTCGTTGAACACCGTCAGCTGCGCAGCGCGACACCCACTCAGCCCCACGCCCGCCATTGCCACTTGCTTTATTCGAGACCGTCCAGGAAGCGGTTAAGTTCAACCCTTTTCAACACCATACCCGGGAAACGGACCGAAAGTACTTTCAGTACCAGTACTGAAAGTACAATTAAAAAACAAATACGAACCCATCCCGAGCGGTCTCGTTATCATCAATTAAATTTGCATATCATACGGGCTAATAGTGTTAAAATCATGGTCTCGAATAAAATATTGTACATCACACGGCAAAAGTGACTTTCCATGACACACCGGGGTTCCTCGACTCGGCTTGTAGCCTCGTGTAGGACTTCTCCGGTCTTGTCAAGGAAAAATTCAATTTCTTGCCTTGTAACATAGATTACAACTGTAAAAAAATATCCCAGCGGGTTCACGAGACTTGGGCAATGGGAAGTACTTCTAATTAATTTTTTGCGTTTCGGACAATTTATTTCTATCGTCAGATCAGATCTAAAAATACAACCTTTTGATTAAACAATGAAGCCACTTTTAAATATTAAAGTTCGCTAGTCAACAATATGTGTCAAATTAGCTTCGTTATTCCATCAACACATTGTATCTTTTGATGTTATTCATATACGACCCTGAGGTTGGAAATTCATTTTCGAAACGACAACAATCAATTAATTAGAAATGTATTTCATTGACCAAGCTTCATGAAGCAACTGCTTCTATTATGTTTCATATGATCCTAAAAATTATTCATGTAAAAGTAATATTTGAAATACGTGTTACATACATACCTTTGTGTTATTCAAATATAATGTAAACTGCAATGCACATCGTGCACATCCTACTTTTTAAATGAAGCTTTCTATTCGATTGAAAAAGGTGTCATAAATTGAAAAACGTAAGTGTCATACTTATGAAACATGTGGAGCAGTTCAAATGTGAAAGAAAATTTCTACAAGAGTTTGATTATGGATAGACAATATTACAAACATAGAAGGGAAGAATTAGATTATTAAATTATACCTGATAAAATTGCTGAGATCTGACAAATTGCGTAATGCCTTTGTACAAACAGTAATAGATTTTTAAAGGTTATGTCAATAACGTCATCTTCGCACAGCCTACTCGAAGATCATGTTATTTGATAGCTGGAAATTATCATTAATTTCTTCTCCTGTACTTAGTAATATTTCAACTGTTCGTGTCTCATATTTTGTAAACTTTTCTTTTTTTTGCATTCCCTGTAAATTAATATTTTTGGAATATAATTTAAAAATTTAATAAGAAATCGGCGTTACAGAGTAAAACTACAAAACGTTGAAAGAGAATAACAATAGTATTGAAATTAACAATAATTATAATAATATTGTGTACTTAATTTGCAATAGGAGTGACAAAATATCCTAGTTACAATGTCGAACATAAAGTGATTTGGTGAACCATGGAATGAAAAATAATTTCATTTTTTCTTGAGTTAAATTGCTACTTACACAGTTGTGCCAATGTTCTTCTGGAGTATCGATATTATTTACATGCTAATACATGTAGTGTCATTAATAATTGAATCGTTTATATTAGACTCCCGTCAAACGCGAAATTCCTAATTTCGAGAAAACCAAATATAAGTCTCCCAATTTTTCAAATTTCAAAATATTATTTTTAATAAAGGATTTAATAAATACATATTTTTCTTATAAATATGCAGTAAACAATGTGTTCATCCTCCCGGAACAATAATCCGTCGCTAAAGCGTGTTTTATATTACGGTGTTTGACGTGTTTCTGAAATAACCGATTCAATTAAGGAGAAAACAATCATCATTTTGTACAAAGAAAAGCAACAAGAAGGGAGTTGCGAGAGTGGAGTGGCGTGCGCGAGCGCTCTCACCTGGTGCATGCCGACCTCCGTGGGCACGAAGGAGCCCTTGCCGCCGCCGCCGCCCAGGGAGATGCGGCACTCGCTGACGCGCCCCGACGGAGCCACCACCTCGGCGCGCACCTCCCGCGCGTCCACGTCCTGCGACAGCAGCTCCAGCCGGAAGTGAAACTGCGCACGCGCGCAGGAAGCCAGGTTAGACGCCCTCCGCCGCTCAGCGCTCTCACAAATGGGAAGGATTTCGGGAGATTCAGAGATCAACAGACTACAAGTCATTAGCAAACATTTTGTGTGTTTAGGTCTCAATTGCATATAAAACCAGAAGAACAGTTATTTACAAATCTAGTATAGAAAGCATTGGCGTATGAATTAAATATTGTCGGGAAAGGACGAAAGTGTCGGAGAAAGACAATTTGAAATGAAACGCCAATGATACTTTCGTACGAATTACGTACATTATACTTTTACGATGTTTTCATGAAAACTGAGGGTAATTATCAATATGCTAGGCAACAGCCATTGACAACTTCAATAGTTATTTCAAAATTTTATAATCTTTAAGCACCGTACACAGACCTACCATTCTGTTCTTTACCGCGTGTTTACACAAAATGTCTCAGAATACGTATTATAATCTTCCAGGGCAAGTACAGGGGTCGAAAATGAAAACATTTTTCAATGAACATGTAGTGGGAATTTTCATATAAAGAAATTATGTTTTTTATATGTGTCAATTGCACCTCATTTTTACACAACTCCTTATGCACAGATGTTCTGCAGGTTACGTTCTGACACTATCAAGTCTGTCAAAACATCTGTGCATATGGGGTTGCCTACAAATCAGGGGCAAATGCCACAATCATTAATGCATTCAAATCCGTTTTACGCAATTTCCACCTGCATGTTCATGGGCTAAATGTGATCGTTTACCACCACCCCTTTAGGAGGCTGAGAGGAGCGTTCCCTTGTGGTGGAGGGCGCGCTCACCGGCTTGTGCACGCGCGCCGTGTGGCCGTCGGCGGAGAGGGCGAGGCGCTCGCCGGGCGCGCGGCGCGCGGGCAGCCACTGGAAGTGCGCGGCGTACGCCATCACGCCCAGGTGCTCCACGTGCGTGTCCGCCATGTCCTTGGCGCGCAGCAGCGGCTCCACCCCCAGGCGCCGCCCTCCCTGCAGCCCTGCACACACGCGCGCCGCGCCGTTAGCGGGCCCACAAAGATTCCAGATATAATTAGTTCATAAATATGTAGGAAGTGAAAATGTCTCGATGATTTTGGGTCTTAACAAACGAAAGTGAGGGCGACCCAACATGTTAGCCCACACTTTTGTTATTTTCTGCCAGAGAGAACACGAAGGTGAATGTAAATCCAGACTTAACAAATTAGGGTGTCTCTTCTTACTATTTTTGACATTTGTTTTTCTATGGTCCATTTGTTTACCGATTGGGCTATACTGTTTGACTTCTGTGGAAAATTCTAAGACTTTTATTAGAAAATATCACAAAAATGTCATTACGTTGCTCCGACCTCTTCAAATGTTCTGTATGTCTACCCTTCGTCATGCTGTCCACATCTACTCCATACTCCATTTCCTCCATACTCACTTTCGCACTCGACCCAGAGTATCTTCACACGTCATGAATGGTCACAGCATGAATGGCTGCGGTAATATGATTTTGAAAATCATTGACATCTTTTGATAGAAATGAAACATAAACGTCACCTTATACGTAATTGAATAGAAAAAATTGTGCCCTAAATCTTATAGTTTTATTATGAAGAAAAAATTGCTACTGGACATGAGCTGGAAATTTGTTGAGTGGCCCATCCTTTTTGATTCATTGGCAATTCATACAAAAGACATGGGTTAAAACCCAGGGATTTTTATATACAGCTGACTTTAGTATTTTGACGAAATTACGGACCTCTTTTAGTTTTATCAAAAAAGTGTGCATGAATACACGACTTCCGTTAAATTACTAACAGTTTAACGTAAACACGTTGAACATGACTTTCTGACAACTTTGTTGGAATATCAGGCAGGTAGGGAAAATATGTAAATCCCACGCGGTTTTCGTTAAGTGACTACCAATGTAGCTGTGACTGCAAAGTAAACATTAGCTTTGGTGAAAGATGATGCAACACATTCCAGCTCGTTTGAGTATGTACCTTGTTTTTAAGTGTGTAATTCGTTTGATGAGAGGAAACCTCCGGTAACTTATTACATTGTAATACGAAGGCTTCACGTGTGTATTACTCGAGTTAAATGTAACATCTGTTACTTCAAATTATTTAAAACCATGTTTCCTGAAATGAGGTGAAAATTAATTTTGTTTGATGTAACCGTACTTGAAATTCCATTTCACGTTCAAGATAATATTTTATTCATGATGTATTTTAAAACCTCTTCAAATTCTGAAAGGAACGTTTACGCTCTTTCAACTAACTCTTCTGAACACTACGCACAACTCTGAAAGCACTTCAAGATTCCTTGCATTTAATATCCACTTGGAATTTTAAATATTTCCACGTGAGTCACAAGACAGCTTCAGGGTTGGCATATCTCCCATCCAAATCATGTGTATCAAGAATGGTAATCTGACAGCCTTTGTGGTATTGAATGCTGTTATTTGCTTTTAATGTATTTAATTTGGATGATTGGGGAGTAAAAATGAACTTAGAAATCATATTACTTCCAATACAAAATTTTCGAAATTAAGAAGACGACTACTCTATCACAGCGCACGAACTTTTTAGGTAGAATTCTCACACATAAACATATTATTTCGTCTTTTAATTTGACTTTGAAATCAAATCAGTGACAAAAAGTGCCGAGAAATTGAAAGAACATTTCATTTATAAAATTGATTTGTTTTTTCTCACATTATTTGGATCACTTCATTTAAATTTTCTTTTTCAGGGGAATTTATATCGTTTTTGCAATCATGCTTCACATTATGTTTTTTATTTGGTTTCAAAGTTTAAAACATTTTCTTCCGTTCACTATCGTATTATTTGCAGAAAAGGGAAGAACGCTTACATTATGGATTGTTCACGTCACATAATTGATTTCTTCCGTGGTGGTAGCAGATATCTTGTGGTAATACATAATATGGTAAAGGAAACCATCTCCATAAAAGGTTTGTGGAGATTATTTCCTTTACCATATAATTGTTTTTTTAAATGTTGCATTTAAAATATTGTGTAAAAATCTCACTTCATGCGACACTGAACACGCATTCACTAATAAAGCCTAGAATTTATAAGTGTACTCATTTATCTTCCTTTCAAGCTATTCTATGTGTCAGTTTCACTTCCTGGAACAATTTCATATTGTGGAATACAATCACATCCAGCATTTGGGATTCCATCACGCACGAGATGATAACGTATCAGCCAATCGTCCCAAATAGCATTGTGGTGTCACCTTTGTTGAGGTTGCTCTCCCAATGCGAGGACTCGGCCTGCAGCTGCTCGAAGCCGGGCACCGGCCCGCCCAGGGAGCGCACCAGCGAGCACAGCACCGTCCCGTCGTTCCAGTCTCGCTGCAATCAGCACACATACACTCACACACTCAGAAGACGCTCCAAGGCGCGGGGCAGCGCCGGCCCACCAGCGGGCCGCACGTTGTTGACTTGTTTCGTTTTATCTATATTAAAGCTTTACTTTACTAATTAATACATACACTTGTTTCAAACAAGAAGAAATAATACTTAATCAAATTTGTAATTCTTGCATAAGCTTAACTTATTCCATAATAATTTAAGAAACCATTTTTGTAATTAAATGATCTGCAAATATTTTGCAATACTTACATGTTTATTTATAAATAGGCTACCCTCCTAATATACAAAGAGCTGAGATTAGTTAAATGTTTGGTACCGCGTGCGAAGGCCTTAGTTCACCTTCAGATATAGTTGAGGAATCATTTGAAAGCTAAGATTTCCAACTTCAACCGGCCGGTTAGGACAGCTACCCGACCGTTTTTTTGTTTTTGTTGAGTGAAGCAGTTTTATTCGGCAACCTGGAAAGCTTTGAGGTACGACGTTTTGCGGATTCTCAGCGGGTTCCAGTGGGGAGGGTGGGTGGGACGGAGCGAAGCGAGGGGACAGAGAGACGAGGCAGGGCCGCAAGGGGAGTGCTCGCGGGGAGGTGGTGACAAAGTCGGCGTGGATGCGGTGCGGACGGGCAGGACGGGAGGAGAGTGGAAGAATGGGGAGGAGCAGGGTGGTGTTGAGCGGGACGAAGTGGGTCAGAGCAGGACAACGAGGAAACGTGCCGGTTGGTACAGGATAGAGTGAAGCGGAGAGAGTAAAAGGATGCGGGTAATGACAGGGAGGTTTCAATCAAAATGACTTTTAATTGATTGATGAATGGATTGTTTCCTTTGGTCATTAGACCTGCTAGTGAAGTTTATGGTTTATCCCAGGAGATGGTGGTGTTCCCCTGACGGATGGTGAAATCTGGCGCCAACTTACATGTCGGCTTGCGGTAGATTTTCCGCTCTAAGTATCTCCCTCAGCGGGGAGCCGCTCCAATCGGGGCAAGCGCTGCGCACCCGCGTGCCTTCCCAACTTGTGCGGTAGTGTAGTGCATGTAAGCAAGAGTGTGTAAGTAAGGGGTGAAGATAGGACAAGGAAAGATCGGGCACGGTCCGTGGCTCTTTTGGTAGGATATTGCATCGGCATTCGCGTGATTTGGATCCGACTAATCACAGAAAAATACTGATCAGTGCAGCTGGGCGCTTTAATCATCCCCAAACACCCCCACATTTGCTGAATGCGACCTGGCTCTATAGAATTTGCTGTAGAACTTGCTAGAGCAAGTGTCGAAAATTCACCATCATCAGGTCTCCAATCCTAAGAATTACCTATCAGAAACGCTGCATAGTCAGCGGGAATTTTATCTCTGAGCAAAACTCAGACGGAACTGTAACTTATTAACCTTCCGAATAAATTAAACGTAGTATTTGTGTCAATTTAAGATAAGTATATATCGTTATTAAAATGTATACAACATATTCATAAAATGAAAAGGGAACTTAAAATGTTGGAAAAACAAACTTTAGACTTTCACAACTGAACGTTTAACGATCAGAATTCACATGTTTCATGCAGAATTCATATACAGAGTTCCTTTTTAGGGATATTGTTTTAACTATAAATGTGTGAAGCAACCCATTCTCCGCTGGCGGCTCACCGTGAAGTTGCGCACGTGCATGTCGGGCAGCTGGCTTTGCACCCAGCGCAGCGTCGCCTTGTAGCCCGGGCCGCCCTCGCGCATGAAGTACGACAGGTACGTCATGCCCGACAGCTCGTCCAGGTGCGGCGACGCCAGGTACTCGGGCTGCAGCACCACGGGCACGCCCAGCTCGCGGCGCGCCGCCTCCATCGCCCGCCGGCAGTTGGCAACGCTGCGCAATACGCCAACAATCAAAACAATTGCGACAAGAGGCCACGGCAAAAATTAAAGATGCCACGTTATACTTTTGTAGAAAATAAACTGAAATGAGGGATGTGCGCAGATGAATAAAAAATTTATTCTTGAATCGATCTTGGATCGCATACGAAAGCTCGACTCCCTTAAAATCGACTTTAAAAAATTGATTTTCCATGAATCGATTCATCAAAATTAAAACAGAAATGAAACAAAACATTACTCTAGAAATAAATATTTTGTTTTTATATTAATGAATAAACACAAACATTTTTGGACATTATATTTTATTTTACAATGTAAAATATTAAGCTATTGTGGGTTTACAATACATAGAATTTGTCTGCGAAATTATACGATTTGAACACTTGTGCAGTAAATGCTCCTTATCGTAACTCTCTTAACAAAATTAAACTTCAATTAGAACTGATACTATGATTTTCTGGTTTCGCTATTTATTTGCCACCCTTGGGATGACGAATTCAAAAGTAAAATATATGTAAGGAATACTAATGATCAATTCGATTCCAAGCTTAAAGAATCGATTAAAGGAAATATCTTAGAGAATAGAAGCGATTCAAAAAATCGATATTTATGATTTAATAAAATAGATCTTCTAAGAAACGATTCAGCATTGTTCATCCATAACTAAGATTGGCAATGGATAGCTTATGACATGAAGATTACGTTTGCAAAGGTATACGGCAAAAACGCTGCTAGTCGTTGTGTAGTAATGCTCGGACAATTACACATGAACGGAAAGAAAGATGAATGTCATTTGTGGGACAGCTTTGACAATAAAGGTTACAAAGTTTTATTCTCTTCTCTAGAAAAACCTGTTTCTAAATGACATTTATCGTTTTCCCGTTTTCTCATGTGTAATAAAAAAGCTCGCGTACAAAAAATGTAAGCAGAAGTACCTGTATCATACACTCCAATTTCTTCCTCACCCACCTAATTTAAAATTACCCTTTTAATATATTTCTAGAAATTGTTACGAGGACTCTCAGGGTCTTCCGCCAACGTTTTTATCTATTAATATTATTACATTAATAAACGGCTAAGCAAATCATACAATTCAGCTCATCAGTCAGTACTTGTTGGGTTTTATACTTAAATAACTTTTTCGCAAATTATTAAGGTATTATTGAGAGCGAGACGTTATATTCGTGTTTCTATTTTTCTTCACATCAATCACATCGATGTTTTATGTCTCATTATTATTCTTATTTTACTTTTATCCAGATCAAGATTGTAATAAACTTTCGTTTGAAACTTAGTAAGTTACGGTCTCGAGTTACAGCCTTCCATTTACACAATGTTCATTTATTTCCCAAATTTGTTACTAGCTCACTGTTTGTAATTCTTTTTTTACCATCTCTAGAAATGTTCACAATAGATGGATCAATTGTAATACTAATAACATTTTTTCCATTTCAGAATAATAGAAAATAAACAAAGCACTCAGATGAAACCGGCTGTTAAAAATATCTGGAATATTATACATGGATGAATTTAATAATTAGGATTTTAAAATATTTTTTGACAAAATACGATTGTAATGTATTACAGATTAGGGGTTAGAGTCTTGAATACTCAAAAACCGGACTAACACGCACACTTGGACACTCAAAATCACATCAATATGCATCGTGCAAATGTTGATATTTGGGTTCCCTGTCTAGAGTTTGCTTATTTGGTCTGAATTTGTAGTATAATTGGTACCAATAAAGTATTTGAAGTGCATTTGTTTTAACAGTTACGTTTAAATAAAATTATAACTCTTATATGGACGGTTGATCTTAATTATTCATCATCGTATAGTTAGGTCCTCTTCGAAGTGTCATGAAGTTTAATGAAGGTTCGAATTTAAAATATAATTCATTTCGCCTGAATTGCCATTTCGAAACATATGAGTTGTTCGAGAGGTAATATCTACCGACAATCTTTCCCCTTGGCATGTCATCAAATATTATGTTAAACATTAACCTTTCTTCAGAGTTAAAAAAAATCCCATGTCAACCTTCAGAAACGGCGGAATTCTGGTAGCATGATAGCCGTTTAGCTCATTCGTGTCTCTTCAGCACGCTCCCGTTGCGTCTTGTGCATCCGAGGAAGTTCCGTGCAGGCGAGCGGCGCGGGCGGCGCGGGTTTCTCTTGCTTTCAGTTGCTTCATCTCATCGCGAGATCTGGGCGGAAAGCGGCAGAGCGTCCGCGCACACGTGCAATCAAGGATCTGCCAGATGCTCCAGTTCGATGGTCCTTCGTCACGAAACTGGCAAGGCACTAGTTGCAACTGCGATGCCCATGATTCTCTCTCAACACAGGCATTTGGGACTTTTCATTTTCACAGTGAACGGCTCATACTGTAACGAAGAGCATTCTTGGTGTCTGCCTCTGTACCTTAGGTTTCATGTACTGGTATTTCGGATGGAGTTTCTGAGGAACAAAACGAATTTGTGGTAGATTTTCATTCATGTTATTTTGAAGAATAATTTGTTGATAACATGTACTTTTTTACTCCTGGCATACTTCATAATTTGTTCTCATTTCAATACTTGATTCTTAATGAAAAATATTTCTCTTGAATGTAGACGTTTCACACGACTATTGAAGTTATGAAAGTCAAAATAAACTTTTCATGATAATGTATAAATCTCATAGACATATTTCTCTTAAAAATTAAAGTAGAAAGTTTCAAAAAAATAGTGTCAGTATAATGCCACAAAAAATAAATCCTGGAGCTTGTAATGATACTATGTTGTAGTACCATCAATGAAATATTATTAGTCTTCTTTTAATGTGTACTCGTTCACTAGTGAGACCCAATCGAAGTAATTCTATATGTACGTGGATTTATTATTATTAATTGTGGATTCACTGTAAAAATTGAAAGCGAAGAGAATTAAAATAACAGTAGGAAAAATTCCGAATGTTTTGAAAGTAGCCTCAGAAAGCCTTATAAAGACATACATATAAAATGTCACTACAAAGTTAACAACAGTGCTCCATGCGCATAAGAAAAAAAGTCATAACAAGGGAATATAAAATTATATGAAGACATTCAATATTGATTGATGAAAGAGATATGATGTAAAATACAACTCTACAGCAGTGCTGTAAAAGCAAATTGGCGGGGAAATACTTAGAAAGGACAACTTCTTTCCTCTCTGAGGAATTTCCACGAAGCGAATAACTGAGGGATGGAAACAATAAGTCATCAATTGAAACCTCGTGAATTTTTATACTTTTGTACAACTTAAATTCTCCTGTGAACTTATTCATTGGCATTCAGTTCTAATTATAATGACATACCTCTCAATGTTTTAATTGTTATATCCTTTAGGTATTTGTTACAATACATTACACAGTATTGAATGAAATTTTGAAACTAGATTGTTTTAGACCAAAAAATATATTTCCCAGATCCCTTAAACATTTCACTGAATTCTTTATTTAACCGAGATTGCTAAGTAGCGAAACAATTGGAATTAAAGTGTGGCTGCAATTTAATCAAATATTTAAACACTTTGTCTTCAAACAATTTTCTCTCTTAAAATGTTTTTAACGTCCGTTTAAGGATATTTTTATGTATTAGGAATAAAAACAGGAGATTCTTACTTCTGATGGAACATTCTTTTATAGGGGGTCTTATGGGAGCCTTTTAATATCGTTAGTTAGAAATGTTGAAATGTTTATGAACCGAATGGTCAGGGATTCTAGCATCTTTGTTTCTCTGATAAATTATAACATCTAATAAAAAATATCTTTGAAATAAACAATTATATTGCATCTTTTTTTATTGACGGTTTCTGGATCAAGTAAAAATAATATAGAAGTTCCCGATCAAGATATTATTGGTAACATATACTTCGTGAAACATTTTAATATTTGATATTTGTTTAAAACAGTTTATACAACATTAAGCCTCTTCCTCCAGCAAGAACGCTGGAAAGCAAAACCAGATACTTATTTTTCACTAACATTGATCCAACATTTCTCTTTGATCATTTGTCATTGTATTTCATTTTTTGTGATAAAGCACGCTGTCTGTTAGCTTTGCGCGAGGAGGGTGGAAAACATTTGTGTTGAAAGTGGCCGCGGTGGCTGCTGAGGCCGGATGCGTTGCAGTCGGTCACCCGCCGCGCTGTTTGCTTGCTTGCAGCGGCGGCGGCGACACAGTGTCCACTTCCTCTTTGCTTAGCACCATTCGAGCCCGGTTCTGCCGTCCCGCTATCTCAGTTGGCAGCCCTCCGCAAGCACCCGCTCCCACGCACGGGGTCCTCGCACGCGGCAAGTGGGCGAGCGCCACTTGGGCGGGTAGAGACTGCGAGGGGAATTCGGGTCTCTTCTCTCGGCACTCGTGCGGGCGGTTTGTTTGTTAAAATTTCCCGCGTGGCTTTCAGATACGGACACTTTATACTGGGTGTGCATAGTACTCGTTTCAGCAGATATGCCATCTATAAAAGCCGATTTAATGGTGAAAAAAATTTAGAACTCTTTCACATTAAGAGTTATTCAAATTCACTCCACTTGTTGAAGAACTCTCTAGGTCAAGATATCGCAAATTAATAATTAGAAAAGAAGTGTGAAGCAGATAATTTATTTGCCACAGCATAATCACTCAAAGTGTTCACTGCAATCTTATATCGCACTTGTAATGAAATGCACTAAGGATACACTTTATGAATAAAACGGCACAATTCACCAGAAAGTAAAAGCTCTAGTTAAAATCTATAGTTCAGGAGCAAATAATCAAAATGCATAGTGTTCACTGGAGGAAAAAATTGTGTTTCTTATGAAATCGTGTTGTTTTTAATACGTTCTATTCGCTCCTGCTCTCAAATTTCATCAAAAGTAATTTAATTTGAAGTGTTAAAATGTGTTTTGAAAATCTGAAATCAGGGACGCGTAGAGCGGGTAGAGCAAACTATATGATTTCGTATCAAACTCAAATTTATTCACCAATGGACTCAATCACTCAAATAGCATTTGGATTAGTTGCTCCTCATTTCTTCTTTATCGTATCAACTCAATCCTTGGAAAGGCCTACGATTCAACGAGTGTAGGATTGGGTTGGTGAACTCCTTTGCGAAGTGCGTAGTTTTCTCTTCAAAAATTCTTCGTTGAAACTGTTCTTTGTCTTGTAGATTATTTTCTTATCACCTTTGCCTAAAAGATATCTGATTATATGACCTTCCGTCTGTTTATAGTACTGTTATGAGGCATACGAGTTCAACGGAGAGATCAATACGTTTTTGACAACTAGAAAAAGTTTTCAGAACGTGTATTTAATCGTAATGTATAATGCACAACAGTCTTCCTACTTCTGATTTCCCTTCGCATTTTGCTTTCTAACGAACCTGACTCTCAGTACAGATGCATTACACTTCGCATCATTAATCTTAGCTGTGATACAAAACAACAGGAACGCAACCTGCAATAAAACAGTAACCCGCTCTAACCTCCTTTCCTGCTTCTAACGGAGCAGTGTGTGCACGTTGTGAAGCACAAAATGCAGTGTGCACGAAGCACAGAATTAACTGAGATTTTGTGAAATGAAGGCTCCACTATACATTGAATATGGCTTATGGTGTGCTGTTAAATAAAAGTATGTTAAATTCAATTACACTGTGTCAGACATTGCCGCATTACTTTAATGATATGTACATGAAGATGTAAGAGCAATGCTTCATGGTGATATCTGGAATGAATGAATGATCTTCGTGGACTGGAGATTATGAGTATATGAAATGAATGATGAGAGTCAGGGGAAACAGTTTTTAACTGTTTTTGACGTGAATGTGTAAATAAATAATTAAATAAATCTACTCTTAAATAACGTATGCATTAAATTAAATGCAAAAATATATTAAGTTCTTTTTAATGTACCAGGTTACATTACATTTTGTGTACAATACATTAAATTTAATGATGTTTATGACTATTGTTATATGTACAGTACGTATTGTCTTTCATGGCTTGTACAGTATGTCTCTGTCTATATGTTACAATCGTCAAGAGCACGTAGGGGATAAAAATCGCTTTTTACAATGAATACTTGTGAATGGTGAACATCTCATTTAACAAAGTTACACACGTTACATTTTTCTCCATTGTTAGACGACTGTTCAAGGGTTTTGTAAGGAACACAGTCTGAGACACTCAAAGTGATTTCAGAAACCTGCTAAACACCAGCGCAAGGAGAAATGCTTACCAATCAGGGATACATGTCACGTGCGTAACTTAGTTATATGAAATTTCTCACCATATTTTAATTGACAATGTGAGATCCTCTTCGGCCCTCTACATGCGAAAGAAGTTTTAATATTTATTCTGAGACAATATTGTTTGGTTTTTACAACTTCTCAATTGTTAGTTCAGTCGACTCCGATTAGTAAAACTCTGGCGATCAATATTTTTGGTTCACTAAGTTAACTATATCCGAAAATGCTAAAATAATGAATTTGTCCTCGTTCACTGATTTTATTTCAGTTGTTCAGCAAAATATCTAAACACCGGGAATTCAAAACTTCAGTACCTACTTTTGGTCTTAAAATAATATTTTTATTTCTATATACTGCATATTTTATTAATAAATCCTACACTTTTTATTTCAGAGTTCGTGCATTCTGTATTCAATATTTTTCAAAATCTTATCCTTGAATGCCTTTAGCACTATTGGAGCACTTTCTTCATTCGTATTCTCTTGATAATAGTTTTTCTTCTATTCTTCTGTTCAAAAATAATTCGCGAGATCATTCATCTGCAAATTCTTAGTTTATTGGAATTTGCGGTCTGTGGACAGACTACAAAAATAACCTAATGTTTTCCTTGAACTTATTTCCTACGTTCAATATCCGATGTAGAGAGTTCACTGTAATTGAATCACACAGCATTTATTTGTAATGCATGACGATCGGGGCCAGTGACTTTGGTTCACTATCACCTAAGTTTACTCTGTGCGGAGTCGAATGTGTGCGTGTTTCGCCCACTCACCTGTCGCGAGGGTCCAAGTCGCGCCAATGAGGCATGAGGCCCGGGCGGCAGTAGTCCAACAGCGCAGACAGGAAGACGCCCGAGTTCCAGTCCGTTGTGAAGTTTGTAACTCTGCATTCTGGTAGCACAGCCTGCAAAACGCACAGTCAGTCTCAAACAACTTGACCTTCATTTAAATACAATAATTCCATTTCCAGTAACGTCACGAAAATAATTATTTCGAAAACATGTACTGGATCTGTAATTATGAGAGGTATTTTACAATAAATACATGAAATCATAAGGGCAATTGATATAGAAAGACGACAATTGATTATTTCACTTAATTATTAGACGAGAATAAATTTAATACGGAAATTTTTAGTAAGCAAATATTGGTATTGTGGTGAGTTTTCGTTGGTATTTACAATGAAATAATTATGAGTTGTCATTGCCAACAATATCGTTTATTACAATACCAGCTTTCTATGGCTTAGCCATCATCATGTAGTCGTTTTGTGGCTTCCATACAGCAGAAAACTGATGATAATGGCTAAGCCATCGAAAGCTGATATTGTAATAAACGATATTGTTGGCAATGACGACTCATAAATATATTTCATAATAAACCAATAACATAAAATAGTATGTATACAATGCTTTCTATAGATATAAGCAAATGTTTTGATCACGAGTAAAAAGCAAAACTACTTTTTTATATTTTCAATCGTTGAAGTAAGTTAAGTTCAAGAACAACACATGTGACTGTTTTTCATTAAGGTCATGTACATTTTTTGAAAATTTTGGTATATTTCCCGCGATATTGCGAGCAATATGTGCAATTTAAAAATATTACAAATACAAGATTTTCTCCAAAAAAATCTCCAAATTTTTTCTTTAAAATTTTAGTAGGTATTGTGATACATGCACTCTATGAGATAGTATAAACGCCATATTGCTCAATCCTTTTGTGTTTTGTAAATGTACTTTTTTTGGCTTGTCTCTCAAGTCGTTAATATTTATATTAGCAGAAATATTCTCATATTATTATATTTATAAGTTCTTTAAATAATGTCAGATAAAGTTTCTAAAAAACTCAAACGTTATTTGTCAAAACTGTGAAAATGTCCCATTTTTAGAAACCCTCAAACGTCTTTTGTTCAAAAATGGCTCCAATTTTTTCTTTCAAAATTTTCGATGGGAAGATGTTAATTGCACTGTTTAATATGCCGTAAAGTTAATTTTTTTTAATTACACAAATGTAATTTTTTGAAAGATATCTCACGCCGTTAACATGCATACTTCCAGCGATTTGTGTACACCACTGCTTTTATGAGTTAAAGTTCTTAAAATGATTTCTAATGAAGTTTTTCAAAAACTCAACAATTTTCAGTGAAAAAGAGTTTCAAATTTCGCATTTCCAGTAGCACATCAAACGGCTCCACATTTTTCAATGAAAATTGCCATTTAGGACAGGGGTACTATTTTTAATATTCTTAAAATAATATTTCGGTTTTACAATGAAGACCCCAAAAAAATGTGAAAATCTAAAAGAAACATGTACTTTCGGTGTCTATAGATGGTAGCTGGCAAGAGTATGCAGCAAGAGAGAATAGCTAGCCGAGATCATAGGAAATAAAGAACTAATACGGGAAAGTCTGGGCCATTCAGTAGCACCACTAGTTTATATAACATAAATGGGATTATGAGATACAATAACCTAAAAAACATTTTGAATTTTTCTATAGCTCTATCTATGAGTATTTATATAGCTCTAAGATTTATGAACTGCTTACCTTAAGCCAAGCGAGCATTAGCTTCTTGGGAGGGAATTTGGAGCGACCAATCTGGTAGCGAACGATAAGCGACCAAATGAGTCCAAGAACCAGCTTGAGGTTGCCATTGACTATGTCCACATTTCCTGAGGAAAAAGAAAAGAAAATGACATTTAATCTGTGAATTCTAAATTCCAGAACTTTTACATAGTGTCAATGTGGTCAGATTGTAAACATCCTTTACTAATCACTGTGAATTTTAATGAATGTACAGATCTAACGATATTGATCATAATATTCGTTTATAAACACCTGAGGCTGAGTTCCGATTTTGAAACTTCTGGATCATGGAACAGAAGTGGTTTGGGACGATTTGAAAGCTTGAGAATTGAGTGTATCTCCTTAATCAGTCAGACTCTACAACAATCCAGCTTTATGAATACCCTGTTTCTCCAAAAACTGTCTCTTGTATACATTTACCTTTGAATACCTTTCCATACAGGTATTCTAACCCTCTTTCTTGAAGGGAGATAAAATTTATCCGGGCAAATTTTCTTGGATAGCGACATCATTGAAGTTTGGGTGTGTCAGAAAACCCAAGTGACTTCTCATTTGTGTCATTGGTGCAGTGTTCTCAATTATACTTTATAATGAGAGTGCTGTGGATAGTTTAATATTGGTTTTGGAATGTTGAATACACGTGACGTCACCATAAACTTAATTTCCAAAAGTTAACTGTGATTCACTTATAAATATATAAAGTTTTATATAAAAATAATTCATGCAATTAGTTTATAATATCCTATATAATGTTTCTTTATTGCACTTGTACAAATTTGAAAAATAGCTTCTAACGTGGCTTGTTTTCAAAACATGTACATATGGAATAAAGCTTCACATTATAAACTAGTTGCATAATATACTATTAATACAATGCTCCTTTCATTTGATTATTGTAGCTTCAAATCGCACAATTAGGAAAAAAATACAAAACAAGCGTGCCTTTATGGCATATATTCCTCGCAGCATAACTAAAACCGGCTTCATTTGTGAGAGCGGGAGCAATGAAGCGATCCGGTTTGTTTCACTCGCCTGAAAATTCCGTTAAAGAGGTCCTTTTCTCTTGTGTAAGGGTTCGTGCGAGATTGTAAGATCTACTTTGTTTACTCTCCATGCCTGAAATATCTCGTTTGCTTCCACACAAGATGCGTATAAAATATCTCGAATATTTTGCAGTACATGAACATCATAAACCAAGATAGCCCAGAGTAACCACGGATTATGGGAAGTCACGATACGTTTCCACGGATTTGTTCCACGGACTTGAGCTTGCCGCTAGAACACAATAGTGTGAATCTCTTGAGTGGGGGCCGACAATGACCAGGCGGTGGGGCGAGTCCGGGGCACGGAGCTAGGGGGGGCGCTCAAGGCCCATCCCACGCCAGGAGCTCTTCTCACCCTTGGCGGCGACAGAGAGGTCACGGCATCAAGATGTCTCGGTTAAAACGGACGTAGCACCTCCAAATGTCGGCACGCTTTCTTAACAACGCGTCTGCATGAGTTTGGGCACCTCACGCGCCTGGAAGTGACATCTCCGTCAATAGATGCGATGTATCATTTCCTTGGCAGAAATAATTAAGTAACACGTGACTAATAAATACGTTAATTGGGTATATGACACGCATATCGTGTTTGCGTGATAAGCGAATCGAGTTTGCAATACCGGTTTTAAACCAGCATTCCTTGGGTTTGCGCATCGGGGACGTTTTAACCGTGAAAACATGTTGGAAGAAAATCATAGATTAATAGGTGAGGAACAACAGGTTTAGTTTTATAACTACGAAGTGAAAGGTTTTCACTATCATGCAAACACCATATTGAAGAGCTGTCAGATTGTTCTTACTCAATATAAACGTTGATGGGATTGTTCATAGAATTTTGTTTATTACCATTCTCTGTACCCCTGAATAATGCCAATTAGCCTAATAGTCAGATAAAGCAATTTTTAACACAAAAAAAATTCTTCGCCATTGACAAACATTCATTCACAACAACGCAACAACGTCGTTAATTCACTGTTTCTGGGACTCAATAATATTCAATGGCTATTAGTTTACGCACGTTAGATAATGGGGAAATTATTAGAAAAATGTTACAAAATAATTTTGGTGCCACAGAAGTGACTTTGATCGTACTTTTGGTGACAAAACGTTTCATTACATCCCCCTGCCCACTCGATCTTCACATTCGGAGCGATTATTACGAGAAGAATACAATGTAATTATCCACCCACCTGCTAGATCGTGACATCATCGTGACACAGTACTTTTAAAGCCACCGTGATTTGTGACCGCTCTTGGCAGATGGTGTCATCGAGTTTTATTTTTAAGAGTTGACCGAGTTCCGACCTGTTGGTAAATGACTAGTAAGTAAGTTACGTAAGAGCAGCAGGGAACAGCAATGCGATTATTGTAAACTACTGTGTGAATAATGATTGTGAGAAATGTTTGGAATTCCTATGTGAAGAAACACTACCTACATTACCTATGTAGGTAATGAAGACTGCGACGGGTAATGCATTGTATCGATCCAATGGTGAGGTTTCGGATTGCTCTTTAATTTTGATGTTTTTGCCTTTTTTTAAGACGTAAAAAACAAAGTCAATCTACCACGTACTTAATATCATGGAGATTATCATTCTTTATAATTATTACAGAATTGTCAGGAAAATATATACACAATTCCCAGCTTCTAGGTCACCCACATCCTTTCAGAGGTGAAGAAGACACAAGAGGATAAAAATATAATGAAAAAGTGAATAATGTTATTATCTGAATTACATTTTCAATTTTTGAAATATTCCTATTAATATTTGTCTAGGTATTGTTGCACGTTGTTTCTGGTAATAATGCTGTACATGTCATAATTCGTAAACTGATGCTCCAAAAAGTTTCGGAGAACTACATCTTGGACGGAAGTTTGCTATAAGAAATTATAAAATGACGGTGTCTTACGTGACGAGAAATTATAAAATGAAGGTGCCGAACGCATACCAGTTAAAAAAAAGTAATATTCAAATATATATATATATATATATATATATATATATATATAGTTACTTTGTATTCAATTATTAATCACAGTCAGTTAACTTCTGTGATTTGTAAATTTAGTACCTTAAACTTGTCAATAAAGCTCTCCACCAACCCGTTCCTAGATTTGCCAAGGTCCTTTTATAAGTATTTTTTTGTATAACAACTGTCCGCTTTCTGACTACCACTTTTCAAATGTAAAACATTGATTATATACTAGAAAAGCTGTTGTTCTTCAGTTTGGACTGAGCACTTTTTTGGTGACGTAGATTACTCAGCCAAATGTTAAAGAAAGAAATCGTGACAGCTGTCCCGTTAGGCATGTTACGCTTGAATGATCTTGAAAAGGTGAGGAGAAAGTGGCTTAATTATCGATGCAACATTATTACTATGAATATTACTGTTCTGCAGAATATAACACCAAAATTACACATGGTGTTTCACGATTTATTGGAGTAAAGAAAAAAAATAGTATATATTGCAACATTATACATTTCAATCTTCAGTACAGAATATGAATTTGAATAAAACACTTCAAAAATGGAGATGTTGAAATGAGTGAATGAAATGCGGTTAATGAACGGAATTTTCGAGGAGTGACTTTCAAGTAGTTTGAAAGAAAGCTGATTCAGTCCAGGACTTAATATAATACCAAAAGAGATTCACGGAAGAGTATAGAAATACTTAAGCCATCTGTTAGGAATGTGATTGGGAAATGAAATATCCATTTCTGTTTTTGGAAAGCAAAGATAAAATCTGTTCAGCCCCGATGTCAACCACAAAGTAACCAACCCCTACATTCGTAAAAACGAACTTGCGCAACGCGCTGGGCGTGTACTTCCGCCTACGTCTCCGTTTCGTAACTGACCCGACTTTCCTAAACTAAGCAGAGCAGGTTATTCAACCTCAATGAAATTCCATCAGGTGGTCCATAACTTGATGAAATATAGTAGTTGCTACAAAGATGTTGACAGAAATTCCTCGAAAGTCAAGAAGACCAAGGATGTCCCAAAACAGCTTATAAGACATACTACACACATGCATGAAATATGGAACGCGAAATATATTTTTTTGATCGTCACAAATTTCTACAATCTTTCTCTTGGATTCATAAATACTTGAATTGTTTGTTCATTATCTGTTATTTTTTTGAATATATAAAAACACACAATGAAATACGGAGTGTTAGTGTAAATGTTTTCCTTTGTTCATTTTTTATTTTCAGAAAATAAAATGAATCTGAATAATCTTGCTCTTACACATAATCCTATATATCATCTTGCATATTTTAAACTTTTTTCTCTTAGGTTTTATGAACATAATTGCGGTGAATATCAATATACTGGGAGTTTCTTGATTCTGATTTATACTTTAAATATAGAAGCGACTTTTTCAATATATAATAATTTATTTTATTTTTATTTATTTAATAGGTAATTATTACACTTATAAATTAAATAACATGATGCTATGTGGCTAGGTCGAAGGCCTGAAATATTAATTACATTCTACTGTGTACCGTTACGCACAACAGAATATTAGAGATTTCAGTCTTCTCACAATCTTAGTTTCGATGTGCGGTTAACATTCAATGAAGATCGTTTTTCTATGACAGGATGCCAACCAATCCGACTACGGAGAGGAAAAGCTAAATTCATCTTTGAGAACAAATGATGGAGTACTCAGTGACACTAGATGGCCTGAACAAAGATAATCCCATCATACCTCGTTGGAAATAGCGTGGTGTTCAAAAGATAACTGTTATAACATGCAAATTTAATAGATTCTTCTAGTGATGGTTAAATTACGTGCATTTGAAAAAATGTTACATAAACCATGGAAAGCTCATTCGTTTCAAAAATACTTGAGTTTTTCCTGATAAATAAAAAATCTAAAAAACCTTCATTGAATCTTGTCGCTAGTTGACTTTCTGAATTTTAAGAGATGCTTAGATTTCTTTTCAAAGACCAGAAACTTGTTAGCAATGTTTCTGGAATTTTCTTTTAAGGAAAGTTGGTCAAATCGACGTTTTACCAACAAACAACCAAGATGAA